TATGTAAGTATATATATATGGATATTTGTATATATATAAATATATATATATATATATGTATATATATATATATATAGTGTGTGTGTGCGTGTGCGTGTGTACGTGTAAATATACTACCCTCGTTCATCACGGTGTGTTATCCGTAAAAAAACATCCGCATACCGTTTGTAACCATAAAGGAAGATATCCGACGCTCATGCAGCAGACCGATGAAACGGTTGATCTGTGGGTACATAATAGGCTCTCCGACAAGAGAGAGTGCACAATGCTTCACATTCAGTCCCTCTTCATATCGTTCTGGAATCAGCCCCGCAATTCCTTTGGCTGTCTTGATTAGCGCGCGATGATTCTTGATAGCCTATGGTTGGGTAAAGTTGAAGTACAGGAATTAGGATTCATGCGGCTGATAGATGACATGTGTGTTTCGCCGAATTTCGAACCGCTTGCACGGATAGTTTGAACCACAGAATCTATCAATCTCAAAATGTCCGCTCCGAAGGCATGCAGCAGTGAACGCCCCATAATCGCTGTGGAATCCAAAGATGTAGTCATCTGCCGGAACACTTCAAGCCCCGGTGCCATGCGCCATGTAGCATCAATTCGGATACATAGACAATGCACGCATGCGTATAGCTCCAAACTGCAACCATTCTACATACATGTTTCAAACCATGTCAAATACAAATTGAAGTCATTTTTCGCTTGTGAAATTATTAGATATATATTGCACGAATCACTGGCCGATCGAAGAAGATCCGTATGTCTATCGAAACCATGCAATATGCTTATAGTAGCTGTATAATGTATAACGCAGACAAATGGTCACATTACCTCGTTGACGATCATATCAGCTTCGTCCACTTTCCATTTCCACTCCGTTCCCACAGGATTGGTGTGTTGTCTCCAGCAGAAGATACATTTGTTTGCACACGCCAAATTCGGTGTGGCCTCCATGCAACGGTGCGAGTCGATACCATAGAACGTGTGTTTGTAGCACTGAATAATATGAATTAAGGCAATTATGAATGACCAAATGATACATATACATCGTTTCATCTAAACCCTCGCTTATATTCATGCTTGTAAAGATGAGCTCCTGGACTCTTCGGTTCTACATTAACAGGTACGCCGACACAATACATTTAAAGTAAAGAAGGCATAAATAATTAAACACGCAGTCGTATCGAAATAGTGCATACAAGTTATATAAAATTTACTGCATCTACTATAAAATTTAACATACCCCGCCCCTGCCTCGCAACATCGACTTGGTCCAACGACAGAGTTTGACACCTGAGTGAGTGCCGATGAGCTTATATCCTTGCTTGGTCAGTGACTTGCGCAGAGCTGGTGTAATCATCTCTCGAGGGCCGCCACTCGACTCCTTCTTCTTCTGCGCCTAATTATAGCAGGGCGAGAAACCTTGAGCACTTGATGTGATAATACGATTGATGTGCGAATAAACCTGAACAGCTCTGGAGAGCTCTATCTGTAAATGGGTGCAAATATCTCGAAATATAGTTGACGGATACGAGCAGACAATATCAAATCAACAAAACAGAACATCACCGCTGAAATACCTTCATCTTCGCCATGAGAGGACCCATATCTTCCAGATCCTGCATTCCATCGTCCTGGTTACCATCCTCTTCATCACTGTAACTTGAACTATCCGATTCGTACGCCTCTTCGGTAACGACGTTTTGCTCCACAACGTCTACGGAAGTAAGAATAGGTGGGACGTGCGATGTCAGTCTCACAAAGCAACACTGGATCGAATGCTTTGCATACAAAAACACACTATATCAAGTAGCATAAATTATACGGATATTGAATCAATAGCACACTACCAAACACCTACTGCGGAAATTGAATCAATAGCGAATGGCTACTACTTGCTAATTCGAATACAATCCGGTTGAAAGCTACCAAAATATGATGGTGTGCAAGAATTCTTCACTATACAAAGGCAAGTTCAATGATTATACTCGCCCCAATATAACAACACTATGGACACAGGCACTTACACTACCTACAACGCACTATACACACAGGCTGATACCCTCCCGTAAACGAAGTTTACAGACACATAATCAAATATATACAACACACCACGCAGGCACAGACTCTCTCCCACACAAACAATAACGTGTAGACACATAGTCTCCCCGTGGCATGAACATGCACACCAATACAAGCCCTCGCCTACACGACGACATGCATTGACAAGTCATGCAGGATACCATAAACCCTTGCTTGAAAAGTAACCGGCGCACACAACTACCCACTTCCCGATGCACGAATGCATGCAAACGAGAACATACTATCTCCAGCGGCGGGACCACCCAGTGGCTTATTCTGGTACGTTCTCACCAAACGCTGCGCCCACTCCGTGAAATCCGCCTCGATGCTGCCGTTCTTGCTCTCCGTCACATCCTGGTTGCCCAACCCCAGTCCAAAGCGTCTACGCCCACCCAAAGCCTGCAGCCACCTGTCCACGTTCTTCCCCACCGTGTTGTAGTGCGCAGAGATGTACGACGAGTGTCCACAGCCGAACACGGCGTATCGGATATCCTGCAGATGTTTCTTAGACACACGCTGGTCGAGGTGGCAGTCTTCGAGGTACAGGCACAGCCCAGCACTGCTCTCTGGAGGAAGGCCACCAGAGTAGGTTGGTACGATGAAGACCATCAAACTGCAGCAGCGTGGTGCATTGCAATTGAGTAGAAGATTAGGCTTTGAACGTAAAAAACGTGTAACTTGTAAATTACACTCTTTCATGCGTGTCACTGACAGAAAGTGTTGAACACCCCTGTTGTGATGAAGAAAGGAAAGAAATCCTTTATGCGTGCATGTGTGACACACCACTCGGTGACGAGATCAAATGCATAGGTTAAGATGCTGTCCAGACTACTCCATCCTGCCCTACATATTGTACATAAAATAAAATAAACTCCAACATTTACTCACCACTGTAAATCCTCTTCTTCGAGATCCAAAGGATTGTAATCTGCCAAATCAATGACTTGCACATTTTCCTTCTTGAGACCACCATCTGCCAATTCGCTTAGCATCAAAGCATTCAATTCAGCGGCCATTCCCTTGCAAGTACCCTTCACAGACGAGAACAAGATTTTACAGTACACTCTACCCTCATCATAAGTAGGTTTCTCCTCCGCCTGCAGAACGAAAAAAAAGCTTAAGAAACTAATTTGTAAGGTGATGTGCGACGAGCACCTGACTGAAGCCAGCTATACACCGGACGCCTATTCTGACTCCTTTGTTGTTTTTTTCTCTATCCACAGTTTTATTGAATCCAGCGACATAAAGAGATTATCCTTCGTGCTGTAAAGGCCATGACACGTGACTGTGAAGGCCGTCACCATGTGATGTTATACTGGCCGAAGTTGACATGTGCTACTCTTTTTATCGATTGTGTACGCACTTCTTGACGCACCGCGTGGCCTATTTCGCAATATTAGCACGTGTTAATTACTTCTAATTGTTAGAAATGAAAAAGATATCTATACACAAATATGTGTGTATATACACGACACACCTACCTGTGTTTTACAGCATCCCGACTCCGAAGCAGTTTCCTCGCTTTGGCAGCAACCGCCAGATGACACTTGCGCATCACTGCTTACGCTTTTACAGCATCCAGACTCGCGCGCCTGCTCACTTGTTTCAACTGCAGCGCTCTTACAATATCCCTCACCAGCTGACGTACCAGAAGCAACACTGGCATCCTTGCAACACCCTGAAGGAGCGTCTTTCGCCGAAGCCTCAGCCTCAGCTGAGGTTCTTTGATCAGCTGTGTAAATGGCCTTTCGTTTGTCAGCGAGCGACGTGGCTTTGTGGTTCTCCCTTGAGGCATCGAGACCATCGTCATCGGTCAGGTGCAGTACCAAAAGCACAACAGCTATTGCACTGAACGTCAAGGTTGTTACCAAGGTCCATGGAGCTGCATAAGATCCCAAACAGATACAAGATTATTAGTTGCATGAACTCAATATTACCCTTCCCGTTGCTTCATTATCCGACACTTCAGCTGACCTTGTTAAAATTGAAATTGTCCGCAACACTACATCTCATGCACTAAAAGAATTCCAGGAAATCTGACTCGACCATCTGCGACCGTAGACATACACAACAGAAATTGGTGGAAATAGGAGACACATACGCCATCTCAACACCTACAGTGAAAACATTAACAATACTCGATAAAGCGTCGATCAAATATATCCATAAAATTCTATGTACATACACTGATACATGTACAAAACCATTTAGTTTTAAATAGATATGCATCCA